AGCACCAAGGACCAGGGCCCAGGGTTGGGATTTTTGGGGGCTAGGCGGAGGATTGCTGGAGGTTCACTTCGGGATGGGGCAGCTGCGGGCAGGGGAGGGGGCCAGGGGCTGGCTGCAGGCTCCAGCCAAGTTTGCTAATATTTCTCCGCTGCAGATGTCCTGACGCCCGGGAGGCCCCCCGGGACCCGGACCCTATTAGAACAAATGTGCACTGCTTTTGTAAAGAGGCGCGTTGGCGGCGCCTGTCCTATTACAGGCGACACATGATCAATAGGCTGATAACGCAGCAACATCAATATAAGCGACAGAACAATGAGGGATATCATTGGGCATCTATCTTAATATAGCCGGCTACAAGAGCGCTGACAAAGAGGCAGCTCATGAAAATTCCGCCCCACGACTCCCCAGCTCCGCTCCAATATGCGCGCACACTCCCCCAGCTGCCAGCGCTATTATTCTCCAATTTCAATTTGACACCCCAGCCTTTCATGCTAATTCTATTATTGTAAGAAGTTTATGTGATTTCATATCACTAGAAATCGGTAATGTATAATAACCCTTTGGGCAAGAAACCCAGTCCCCGCAGCAGCCACCGGAAAATAATTACTTTCATATCAAAACTCTGCAGGAGCCCAGCGGCCGGCCCTGGCAGCCCCCGGCGCCTCACCCGCGCTGCGCGCCCGGCGTGTGCCAGTGCGAGGGGGTGCGCGCGGGGGCGCGTGTGTGCTAGTGCGGTGTGGGGGGCACCGGGCCGGAGGGGGGAAGCGAAGGAGGGCAGGAGCGGGGGAGCTGAGGCTGCATAAATTTGTTCAATCAGAAAACACAAACACACACGCGCACAAAAGGAGGCATTAAGCGCAGACCCTGGGGGAGGTGAGGCGCCTCCGCCCTGCCCCGCCCTGGGGGGGGGGGAGCAGGGGCTATGGAGGGGGAGGGACACTCCGAAATTTGAAAAAGATGGATGGGAGAGCTTGCGTTTGACCAGCTTTATTTATTAAAAAAATGGTACATATATAAATATTCTTAGACATTTTTGCATTTTACAAGGCTGAGGATTCTTGTTGTGGGTTTTGGGGGACTATGGGTTAGGTTTTCTTTTTCCTCCCTTGAGAGGAGGAGGGTCTCACCCCAAGTCCTGCTGTTGCTGACTAGGTCCAAGCTGAAGGGGGGAGGAAAAAGCAGTGTTTCTAAGCCGATCACCTGATTGCCGTGAGTCGGAGCTGAGCCCCTGCGGTGCAGCTGAGCTCCTCTAGGCCTCCGGCCGCCCTCAGTCCATGTCCACTTCCTCACCATCCAGGGCACTGGCTACTGCCGCGGCGCCTGGCTCAGGGGCCCCGGCCCCACAAATGGCTGGTTCCCCCGTGGGGCTGGGCACCCGTGTTCCAGGCCTTCCAGGCCCGGGGGACTGCGGGAGTGGCGGCGGCGGTGGGGCCACTGGACAGGCCCCCGTGTCCGAGCAGTCCCCGCCGCCGCCCTCGGCCACAGCTGGGTCCCGGAAAGGTGCCGGGGTCGGGGCTCCTGGGGAGGCGACACCGTCGGCCGAATCCGGAGCGCCGCTGGGCCCAGGGAAGACCCCGAAGCTGGCCTGGGCAGGAGGCGCGGGTGGTGCGGTGGGCGCAGGCGGCGCATCCTTGGGCGCTGCCTCAGGACCCGCACCGCCTCTGAGCGCGGCCTGCGGCACCAGGAAGCCGACAGGCTGTGTGATGGGGTAGAGCAGGAAGTGGCCCTTGCCGATGAGGGTCCGCGGTGCGCACGGCAGCCCTGGCGCAAAGTCCAGCCCTGCGGCGGTGGCGTTGGCCGGGGCGGCTTTCCGGCGCGGCGGCGAGTCGGACAGCAGACTCTCCACGCTGAACGGGCTGGCCTTGGGCAGGCCCGAAGCGCTGCGCTCTGCCGCCGCCGCCGCTGCCGCCCCGGGCGCACACGGGGCCGGGTCCTTGTCCAGGGGGCGGCCTAGACGCAGCTGCGGGCCGGCGCCGCTTCTTTGGCTCGGGTAAAAGGCAGGGTCGCAGGTGCCCGGAGCGGGCGGCTCGCCTGGCGGTGCGGGCGCGGAACCAGAGCCGGCACTGTGCCCAGGGACCTTGGCCGCTGCGTTGGGCGGCGGCGGCTCAGGCGGCTCCGGGGACAGGCCGCCGCCTCCGCTGTCGCTGTCGGAGCTGGGTGCACTGTGCATGGACAGGCCGCCGGGCGAGTGCAGGTGGCGGCTCTGGCTCTTCAGCAGCTTCTTCTCGTGCTTGCGCTTCTTCTTCTCCATCTTCTCCAGCTCCTTCCGCGCGATCTCCTCCGGGTCCATGGGCTCGCCGCTGCATGTGGTCGGGTGCGAATTGTGCGCTGGCCGCCCAGGGCCCTTCTTCGTGTTCTCCTTCTTCCTCCACTTGGCTCGGCGGTTTTGGAACCAAACCTAGAGTAGCCAGGTGGGAAAAGGAAGGCGCGATGAGCCGGAGCCGCAGGCTTGCTGAGGCTGTGGGCCTCCCCGCTCCCCCAGACAGGCCTGCACAACCTCGGCTGGGCCAGACTCGGCCAGGGGGCAGAAGCCAAGTCACATGGCCAGGCCAGCACGGAGCTGGGTGTCCGCACTCAGGATGCAGGTTGTTCCAAAGGGCATCTTTTCCACCCAGAGGAGGTAGAGCAGGCCCCTTGCCAGCTCCCACTCTAGCTTCTCACCTCAGGAACTGGGAGCTGCCCCTTCCTTGGGCAGCGCCAGCCTGGCCCCTGACCAGGGGCATCGGGTTCCTGGTCTGGAAGGAGGTAGAGAGCAGGGACGGCCTTGCCCCTCCTGACTTCTCATAGCTCCTGTTCTAAGCAGCTTGCCTGGCCTGGCGATGACCGTCTGACCGAGGACACCAGGCGGATGGTCTGTGCCCTTCACACACCTGTCTTCAGGCCCCGGGAGACTGAGTGGAAGCCCAGATTTCGGCCTTTCCCATGAAGGGAAGCCTGGATGCTTCTTCCAGAAGGGCCTGGGGAGCTGAGCCCAACTGGGGGAGGGGGAGGGGGGGAGTTTCAGTAGCCTCCCCGCGCCCCCCACCCCCACACACTCACACCCTTCTCCTTCTGGAGCCTTCAGGCCAGGGCTCCGAAACAGGGCCCTCCAACCAGCTCGCTTGGCTTTGGGGTGGGGTGGGGGAGGCAGGGAAGCAGGAGCCAGCTGCCTCTCCCACTCTCTCTTCAGGCCTGGTCCTTGGGGAGCTCACTAGACTGGGGGGAACGCAGCCGGGACCCCGGCTCCAGCACAGCACAGCCCCAGTCCCGGCTCAGGCTCAGGTTCCCATTCTTTGTTGCGGCCACAGGGAGCCCAGGCCATTGCAGCCTGTCGGTGCCACGGTGTGGGTATGAAGTTGCAACCTCTCCACAATTGTAACTGCCCTTTCTCCCACACACCTTTTTAAAATACTTTTTTTGAGGGTGCAAACTCGGCTTCATGGTCACCAGGATTATTCATCACCGTGTTAGGGAGAAATGTCATCAGAACACTCAGAAGAAATCCCACAGAGGATTTACAAACCAAAGGGCCTGAGCCGAGGCCACGCACAGGACCGGGCACTTGTTAGGGTTCAGACAAAGCTGTCCCTGTGGAGCCGGTCTGGCCAGCCTTGCCTCTGGCCGGTGCCCACACTGCCCCCCGCACTCACCACCACAACGATTTCTGTACTTCAGGGAAACACCTAATTATGCACAATTCATCTTGAATAAAGAATCCACCAAAATGACGCTGTATTTTTAAAAAGAATACCACTGGTAGTCTCCGAATAAAAATCAAATTCCGGGAAAAGAAAAAAGAAAAAGATATAACGGACATTATATAACGGACACCTTTCCCCCTTCAAACTGTTTAATTGTTTAAGTTTCTGCCCCATCCTGCAAAGCAATGAATAAATACCTGTTTCCCTCTGAGTATTCTACAGGCTGAAGGTAAACAAACAAACGCTTCCGCTGCAGGCTGGGCACAGAGCCCTTCGGCGGGTGCAGTGAGGGTCTGCCTTCTCGCATCTCCAAACCCGCCGGCCCACACAAGCCTCCGCCACCTCCTGTCTCTCGGCCGCCAGAACCCGCCACGCGATTCCCCGGTTGGGACGCAGCTGCTGTTCTCGCTACCTTGGGGCGGCCGCCGGCCCCTCCTGAGTCGCCTCGACTTTTAGGGGATCCCACCTGCATCCCCAAGAGACCCTGAGCCTCAGAACACCCAACGCCACCGCCACCTTCCCGCCGGCGAGCGCCAGACGGGCTCGGAGCCGGGACGCAGCTCCACCGAGAACAAAGGCGGACGCGTAGGCCCGGGCGGTGCTGCTCCGGGAGGGACGCGGTCTTTACCTGAACGCGGGACTCGACCAGGTCGAGCCGCAGCGCCAGCGCCTCGCGCATGAACACGTCGGGGTAGTGGCTCTCGCTGAACGCCTTCTCCAGCTCCTCCAGCTGCCAGCCGGTGAAGTTGGTGCGGGTGCGCCGCCGCTTGCAGCCCGGGCTCTCCTTGTCCGGGTCTCCCGCGTCTGCAGGCGAGCACAGGACGCTGCGGCTCAGCCCCGGCCCGCGCCAGACCCGCCCGCCGCGCTGCTGCCCGCCGCCACCCTGGCCCGGCCACCGAGAGGGCGGCCACTACCCCGTGCGGGCGCCGGGCGGGACCCAGGCGGCCAGTGCCGCAGCCCCCGCAACGAACTCCTCCGCCTCACAGGGTCCCCTGCCCCAGCCGCCACCCCGCCCCGCTCCCGCTCCCGCTCCCTGCGCCTACCCGACAGCTTGAAGGGCTGGCTGTCGCCGCCCACCCCGCAGGCCGCCGGCAGCAGCGGCGTGGGGTTGACCACCGAGGCGGCGGCGGCGCACGAGCCGCTGAGCAGGCCGTCGATGGAGAAGGGCACCGCGGCGGCGGCGGCGGCGGCGGACTGCAGCTGGTGGCCCGCCAGCTCGTACACGTGGTGGTGGCCCAGCGGGTAGGGGAAGCCCACCACGCCGCCCAGCGAGCCCCCGAACTGGGCATGCGGGTGCTCCAGGAGGCGGCCGTCCATCATCTCGCGCAGGGGGCCGGCGGGGCCGGCGGCGGGGCGCGGGGGCGCGGGCCGGGGCCGGGCTGGGCCAGCGGCGGGAGGCGCGGGCGGTGGCGGCGCGGACAGGGACCCGGAGCCCTACACATGCTTCGCCCGCGCGCGGCGCTTTACTTTATCAACATCAAGCTCCCGATAATTAGCCGCGGCCCGGGGAATTTGGGACCAATAAGAAGCGTTAATCGGCTCTGACGTCACAGGCGTGCTGGGTGCAAGGAAACGTTTTCCATATCGATTGCTAATTATACCTGACATGCACCTCAATAAACAGTATCAGGAACTGTCACAACAAGACCGGGGAGGGGGCCACAGGGAGGGAGGGGCGCGGGCGCGGGGAGCAGCCGGGCAGGGGCCCCTGGCGAGCCCCCACTTCAGTCCCCGCCGGCCCAGCCGCGCCTCCCCGCCACCGGCTCCCGCCCCTCCGCAAATCACTAATAGATTTCCCTTTAAAACGTCCACCGCGTGTTGTGGGGATTTTTCACCAGAAATGCTGTACTCTCTGAACCTTTAAAGTGATGTTGCTCCAATTACAGAGAGACATTGAGCGGCAAATAGACTGATCCAATAATAGGAGATTCATCATCCGCTCTTTCCGAAACTGTCACATTGAATTTAAAACTACAAGGGCTTCTCCTCTCCTCTCCGCTCCGGCTCCAGGCGGCCGGGAGAGGGGGGAGGAGGGAGGGAGGAGGAGGGAGGCCGGAGACTCCCAAAGAGGAGTCTCCTGCAGCAGCAGCCCTGTCGGTAGAGGCATCTCAGTGCCCTCTGGTTGACTGGCAGCGCCCAGTCTATACGAGCAGAGAGGGGTGGCTGAGGAGGCCCCTGCCCTGCCTCACCCAGGGGGTGAAATGGCCCCAGGAAGAGGGACAGGCCAGGGGGGAGGGAAAGGAACTTTGGGGTGGCAGCCAATCAGGCCCCCAACACACATGGAAAAAACACACAACAAAAAACCCCCCAAACATCTTGATTTGACTCTAAAGAATAAGGCCAAGGTACCCAACCCATTGATTGTAATTAACTTCCGTTCTCAGACAAGTGTCACTCCCTTCTCCACTATAAAATATTGATAGACTCAAAGCTAAACCACGGAGGACACAGTCTTAAATAAGCAGCAAGTGAGGGCCGTGGCAGAAGGGAAAGAGATCGTGAGGTGCGGACTATCCTTGGTAAGAAAGTTTGTCCGTGGGGTGGTTCCATCTCGCCTCCACCCCAGGTGCCTGGACCTGGTCCCGGGCCAGCGCCTGAAGCCGGAGGAAGGCAGCTCCTGGGCTCTCTCACAGGTCCAGGGAGCCGGCTGCCTGCAGCCTCTCACCGCGGCGGGCAAAGCCACAGAGAAGTGGGCCTTTGGTGTCAGTGGCCCCGCCAGGCTGCTAAGCCGGGAGCCCGCCGCCCCGCGGGGAAGGGCAGGGCAACTGTGCGGCCCACCCCGTGCCAGCCCTGGCGTCTCTGTGTCCGTGTTCCGGGAGGGGTACGGCTGCAAGGGGGCGAGGGGCAGGCGGGCACCTTCCACCCCGCGCACCGGCTTTCTTCTCGACCAGCCCGCAGCCCGCAGCAGGGCCTGAATGCGCCCTGACCGCGCCGCCTGGGATTTCATCACCCTCCTCCCTGTCCTCGCTGGAGACGAGGGGACCGCAGAGGCTGGGGCCCAGGCCCCACAAGGGCCAGGCCAGAGAGATCTGGAATGTGGGGCCTAGAAAAACGCTGCGAGGATTAATTCTGAGGTCAGGGGCCAAGAGCACTACTTTTCGCCATAATTTAATTTCTTTCTCTATAAATACTAAATGTAAACCCTGTCCATCCGTCTCCGTGTTGCCCGCAGCCATCGGCGCCTCGCTCTCGGTGGGCTCGCGAGGAGGAGTGTGCGGGCGCGTGTTTCTGAATACAGAGCTGCAATCAGTTCGCCCGCGGGGAGGGCCCGAGAGGGGCGGGCGCCGGCTGGGCTCCCTCGCCCATCTCTCTTTATTATAATGAATTAATTCGACTTTATTTATCCCATTTTCTGGAGCTGACAGAATGTTAATTTGAGTTGAAATTTCGCTCGCCTCTCACTCTCTGACCCCTGGCCTTCAGATTGGCGTGTTGTAATAACCTGAATCTTTCAACAGAGGCCCTGATAATTGTTACCTTATTAGCATGCAAATTGTTTAATTAATATTATTATGAAGCAGCATACAATCCGTCCGTCACTTGACCTCGAGAGCGAGTCCGTGCCGAGCGCACCGCGCATCTCAATGCGCCCATTTCCATCGCCGCGTCTCCACGAGGCCGGGCCGGCGCTCCGAACCCTCCTCGAGGGCGGAGAGGGGCCTTTCATGACGGCGGGGCGGCCGGGGCGACCCCCGCGGCTCGAGAGCTCTTCAGAGGCCCTCGGCGGCGGCGGCGCGGCAGGGAGTCGCTCGGCTTCTGCTCTCAGCCCCCCCCCCCATTTTGAACATCAAAATTTCATAATTGCTTCCTTGTCGATTGC